CTGAACCCAGCACTCCAGCTGCAGCCTCACCCGTGCCCAGTACAGCAGGAAGAGAACTTCCCTGCTCCTACTGGCCACACTGGTGCTGATCCAGGCCAGGATGCCCTTGGCCTTCTTGGCCACCTGGGCACTCTGCTGACTCCTGTTCAGCTGCTGTTGCCCAACACCCCCAGGTCCCTCTCTGCCCAGCAGCTTTCCCCCTACTCCTCCCCAAGCCTGGAGTGCTGCTGGGGGTTGTTGTGACCCAAATGCACAAGGTGACATGAGGCACCTTGCGGTGTCACACTCTCCTCTCAGCATGAGCTGACATTTCACTTACCCCTGTTTCTTTACCACTATTTCAGCTTTTGGCAGCTTTTTGCAATGGTATGGAGACAAGAATCAGGAGCAGGGGGATGACAACAGCGTCCAGGAGACACCGAGAACAGCAACCCCAGAGGTGCAACTCCCAGCACACCCCCCCACCCTCCAGTTTAGCTTTTAAGGTGCTACTATCAATAGAAAATGGAATGAGAACAGGAAAGGGATCGGCAGCAGCCAGGCAAACTGTGCTTTTAAGAACAAGCCTTTTGAGAATCCTGCAACAAACGTAGTGAAACTGCATTATCACAACTTACGGGCTATATAATGGTCCTAGAGGAACAAATCCACTTCCCCCGCTGGAATTGGATGCGTGGGGTTTAATTACTGTCCTGGGAATGGAAAAGAAACACAGCATCTCCCAGTTAACATCACAGAACTTCAGACTGCACTTAACCCACTGGGATGGTGGGTGACAGGACAGTGTCCTGAGGTAGCGACTGATGCAAATACAATTAGAAACAACACCTGAAATTTAAAAAAAAAGTTTATTTGAAGATCTGTAAAACAGCTCTGGGAAAGACCAACATTTCCAAGACACTATGACATGAGAATGTATTTTCCTATTGTTAGAATATATAAAAAAAAAAGTCACAGTCCTCCAACTACTTAAAGAAACGCGAACATTTATGGACCAAACGTTTTATTTCCAACACCAAGAAAGTGAATGGGTTCCAAAGTCAGACTAAGCAATAGCACCAACACTGGGTGATCACAACCCTCGCGGGTCCGAGTCGGGGTTTGTCGTTACTAGGCGATAAAGCGGGTTAGTGAGGCAAATCTGAACGTGAACACAGACCCAGGAGCAGAGCAGAGTCCATACAATGAGATATCCTAACGCATTCTCTTTACATCCCAGTGATGCAAACAGCAGTAGCAAGCCAGAGACACCAGAGAGTTCCTGTTAAACTCCAAACTTCCCTTTCGGGACAAGAAAAATCCTCAGAACTTCAGCAATGCCAGTTCCGTTTCAAAACACACAACTTTATGGGCTTTATGTGGACACCACCTGTGCAATGGAGACGTGTGTGACAGGAAGGTGAGGAACGAGACGTGGGAGTGGACAGCACGACAGGGATCCAGTTCCCGCTGCAGAGCGGCGCAGCATCACACCGCCTTCCGGTGATACTCCGGGGGGGCCACTTCATAGTCGCTGGCGCTGAACAACGCCGAGGAGTTCTTTGCTAAATACCTATGAAAAATAATGAAGAGATTCAATCACCTCCTGGGCTAAAGTCTCCATCGTTTAGCACCACATGAGAGAATCATTAAGTGTCTCCTGAGACGATAAAACATGATTTCAAGAGTACAAATCTCACATACCTATTAAAAAGATGAAACAGTTGACACTTGGGGTTCAGTCAGCTGCTGTACCAACAATCAATTTACTACTGATTGTACTCAAAGGGGAAGGGACAAAGAGTAGGACACCATGAAGGTCTGACTGCACAGACACAGAACTGAAATGGGTAAATCAACAATGGGTAGAGCAAAATGAGCAATGGTCAACTTTCAAGGCCAGGCTGGATGAGGCTTTGAGCAACCTCGTCTAGTGGAAGGTGTCCCTGCTGCTGGCAGGGGGGTTGGGACTGGATGAGCTTTAAGGTCCCTTCCAACCCAAACCCATCTGATTTGATGATGCTACCAATAGCAGGAGATAAGAATTAAACACCATTACTTCTCCTCACATGGATGCAGGGATTTCTGGTCAATCACTGGCTTCACATTTCTACCTTTACAGGTGAAAGCTCTTTAGCACTTGTGTTTACTCCAGACTGACCGAAAAGACTGTGATCTACTCAAGACTCTGGGACTGTTCCAAGACAAGTTTGCTCTGGAAATCAGGCTGATGCATTTCCAGTTCTCCTGCAGAGCTGATCTGGATTTACTGAGGGTTTTCTTTCAATTTCCACTAGCTTACCTGATCACACAGAGGGAAATGTTGGTATTCACTGGCAAAAGAGCTGAATGCTTTGTTACCCGAGTTATTTACAGATCAATGTTTATAAACACTACCAGCAGCCCTGTATGAACACACACAGAACCTGCTGCTCTGCATGACAATGACAAATGGCAGTTTATAGCTTCAGTAAAAGCTGACCAAGAAAAATCTGCCAGTAACGGCAGAGCAGAGAGCTGCAGCGGTGGTGTGAGCTGGCACACAGCTGGACAGTGTCACACCGCACGGCTGTCCCCAAAAATGCACTTAAATCAACTGCAAAGTGTGACACCGAGTTCCTCCAGTGCCGTAGGGATGCATGGGAGCTGCTGAAGTCATGCTGGTACATATGTATGGGGGACACACAGGTGTGACACCTCAGACACTGAGCTGAAGCTTAGTTTGATTTTAGAATCTCCCATTCAAACATTTACAGATGATCTAAGTAGTAAGTGACTCCACGGTTCCTCATGGCAGTAAGGAAATCAAATGTCTGATTTATTTATTTTAGACACACATTTGGCATTGAAGTCTTGTTTTAATCAGATGAGGTTTAACACATCCACAGCACCACAGCACAGCACAGTGCACTAAAGCTACTGTGACAGTTTGTCCCAGCAATAACATTAGTCAGGCTCGTCAGTTTTTCACGTTTGCTCAATTTTATTGAGTAACTGTTGTGTAATTTAATAGTTTGCTGTAATTGTCATCTGCTTTTTATAGCAACTACAAATAAATGCTTCAACATTTATTTTCAAACAAGTAGCAGACTTGGAGAGGTTAAAAGTGCAGACTAATAAACACATCTAACTAGCAATAACCTCAGTGTAACTGGAGAGAAGTTAAGCCCAGTCTTGCTCACGTTACTGCACAGCAGGGTTTAAGAAAGTGTCACTGCCACCTTCAGTGGCCCAAGATCATATATAACACCCACATATCTAACAACTGCCCACCAAAACCAGGCCACGTTACAAGAGCCTCTGCTTACTGAACTTGTTCTTTCTCACTGAAAGACTTGAAAAGTACTTACTTTAAGAAGTCATGCAAATAGTTTAACAGCAAAGCCAAACTCTTCTCATCAAGAGGGGTGTAAGCAAGCATAGCTCCAATTCGTACTGTTTCAAAAGAGGCAGCACTTGTTAGTTACCATCAGCAACAACTTCAGCAAGTATTCCATAGAATCCCAGAATGGCCTGGATTGGAAAAGCCCTTCAAGGTCATCAAGTCCAATCATGAACCCAGTAACTCTTCTCAACTGCCCTGGCCACAACTGGAGCCCATTTCCTCTTGTCCTGGCCCTTGGGCCTTGGTTGAACAGACCCACCCCCACCTCTCTCCACCCTCCTCCAAGGGACTTGCACAGAGCCACAAGGTCTCCCCTCAGCCTCCTTTTCTCCAGGCTCAACACCCCCAGTTCCCTCAGCCACAAGGGAACTCAGCACACTTGTGCTCCAGACCCTTCCCCAGCTCCGTTGCCCTTCTCTGGACACGCTCCAGAGTATAATTCAGTACAGTCCAAAACCTTAGAGTGGCCTATAAAAGCAGCCCAGAAATCTACTCCAAAATATACAAGCTCACCTAAAATGTTGAAAATCCATTTCCCTTCCAAATCCCTAAATGACTCTGAACATTTTAGGTACATGGAAAAAGGAATGAATTAAACCACATTTCATAGTTGCTTGTCAACTTTCTGCCATTCACACCCACCAAGACTCAAGACAGGCAAAGGAAGCATTGGAATACTTCAGACTGCTCTTCTTCCATCTCTAGAGGCCATACTCACCAAATAACCTCAGCAGGTGTGGGGCACCATAGACTTGAGACATCGGAGCATCCGGGTGATCTGCTAAAATTTCAGCATATTGGGGCCTCTCAAACTTGTACAGCAGTTGAGTTCCCAGCATGACGTTGAAGTATTCTTTAATTCCAGCCACCACTTCATTGACTGCATACTCCCTGGTAACAGAGAAAACACTGCAAGTCTTGTCCTAGTGACTGGGAGGACACAAGATGAGAGTTGGCTTGGTGAGTCCATCAAAATTAAAAGTCTTACACAAGCCTTTAGGTTTCTCAAGGAAATGTGTTTGGAGACCTTAAAATACATCACCACAGGGAATGATACATTTCAAGACCTCTTTTAAAAATGGACTGTTCTGAATGCAGTAAGAATTTAGGCAAACCAAGAAGAGCCAGGCTTTTAGTCAGCCACTCGCTCAGAGAAATTAACTCTTGGAGCAATCCTTTCCAAGCAACAATCAGTACTTACAAAGACACTTACCAGCTCTTCTGTTTTCAACCACAGTCACTCCTAACTCACATCAGTTCAGAAGTATGATGCTATAAGTAATCAGATTGAACTCCTGCTTAAAGGAAAGGGACAGCCACCCAATATTTCAGGCAACTGACCCTTCCTAACTAGGCCTCTCAGTGCCACACTCTTGCAGGCCTCCAACTCCACAACTAACTGAAGAGTAACTGTGGAGGAATTAGCAGTGACATTGCAAATCTGAGCAGCAAAACCCTCACTCCACCCTGCAAACAGACATTAGGACAATTACATAAGAGAATGTTAAAACACCCTGACAAGTCAATAATGTGCTTCCTCTTGAATGGAAGAAAATAACTTCACATTTCTAGTTTTTCTCCCTTTAAAACAGGAAAGCTTCGTGCGATAAACACACCTTGTTTGTTGTCAGGGCTGGACTGCTGGGGTAATTACAAATAAGAATCTTCAAAGCTATCATCTCCAAGTAATTAGTTCTGCCCATCTGATTCTTCTCAAAGTCATCATCTACCTCGCTGTCCCCCACCCCTCCACCTCCACGAGAGGGTCCACCCACACAGTAAGGCTTTGCTCATCTGCTTGGTAGCTTTTCTGATAGTCTGCTCAGCCCATACACAGCAAGTGCCAATGACTTTATTCACCCAACATAGGAAGCTGGAGCTAGAACGAAAGGGTGGAGAACTATTCACTTGGCTTTTATCAGCTTCCTTTAGGGAAAACGAAGGAAGCAGAAATAATACCCAGAAAGCAGAACTGCATTCTTGAATTACCTCCTCAAAGACTCCTAAACTCGACCACTTTGGTCTTGAACATGAAGCTGGACATAGGGCTGGGACGTGTTTAACAACCTTACTGAATTTTCCATGAAATACAAGTCCAACAACAACAGCGGAATAAATATTTAAGGTTTGACATGATCACTACTTACTTGTTATCAGTATTTCCTCGTGATTTTTTGTAGTTAGCATAATCCTCTAAAATGGAGTCAACATTTTTCTTGGCAGGAAGATAGAAGAGCTACACAAGAAGCAAAACCAAACAAATACAAGTAGTCTGATTTATGTAGATGTTTTATCTGCATGCTGACTTTAAATCAACATCCATAAGGATGTTTCTAGAACAAAACTAACAGGTTAAGAAGTTAAGTGTTATTAAAGGAACACCCAACTCTTTTAGTTGTGTTTATCAAGGAAAAAAAAACATAACAGCAAATATATTCATGTTTCCATTTAATATTTGTGCTGCTCAACAGCAACCTGATGATGAACTGCTAAAGTCACCCCAAGAGTCAAAGGTACACAGCAAAGCACACAGGTGCCCCTATGGATCTGCCTACACCAGGCCACGCAGCAGCTACAAAGCAACAGTGACCATTCTGCCTGTTCTTCTGGCTGCTGGGAAGTTTCACTGCCTGCACACGCTGTAGAGTGTCAGAGCTACATCAGAGCAGGACTGTGGCTCAGCAGAGCTGCGTGTTTAACCTCTGATTAAAATCCAACCGGAATGAGAACTGTCACATAAGGCATCAGGTTGCTGTTAAAACTCTACAAGAGATTTCAGTACACTGCACTTGGAGAGGATATGAAATTCTAGTTCCAGTGTTCTCACCTTTATGTGGTCAGGTGGTTCTTTTGACAAATTACCTGCTTTTGCCTGGTGATCAAGTCCCAGTCATCTACCAGCCACGGTTTCAGCTCTTCTGGGATTTTCACCTTTACTTCAACTCTGTTCATAAATGTTTCTTCCTGAAAAAAGTGAAGCCAGACCAACTACTTTCAGGTAACTGTCCAAGCTAAGAGTCACACCCACGTTCCTTGTTTTCACAACTGAAACACACCACTAGACTGAGGAATTACTACATTAATTCCTGGAGGTTCCACAGGGAATAAGGAAATAGCTTAGATTTTTTCAAGACCACTTGGGAACCTTAGCTTTGCAAGCTGTAACACTTCCCACTGCCATTCTGCAGGACAAAGTATTGCTGTCTGCATCTCTGAGCAAAGCAACCTTCCCGTTTTCCATCAAAAATTCTGTGAGACAATCAGAAATACGTACACTTTCAACCGTTGGATCTACTCGAGCCCTCTTCTTCCTAGGAGGCTGAGGAGTCTCACTGGTACTGCTCCCTTCTCCAATTCCTGGAGCTGTACAGGAAAAAAAAGAGACATTACACTGCTTAAGATATCTGGTAAGACAGTAAGAAACACCAGTAAAAAGATTTAGAAGAAGGATTTAAAAGTAAGACTCACATTTCTCTCAGGTCACCTTTTCACTTGGGTTTTTTTTTGGCTGTTGTTTTTGTTTGTTTGTTTTTCTTTTGTTTGATTGTTTTTTTTTTCATTTGTTTGTTTTAAATATTAATTGTATTCTGGAAGTCCCACCTATTTGTGACAGTTTAAACTGCTATATTTACACTTATCTGAAGATGGAGGTTTCTGTGCTAAGAACAAACCTGTATGTCAGTATCAGTAAGGTTCTTCAGAAGAATTTTTGGAACCAGCAGCTCAGCTTTGCAGAAGCAAAACCAGGACAAGATGTCACATCTCCATCTCAATAAGAAAACATAAATTTGATTTCTGAAATTATTTCAGCAGATCCATGGAGATATCACTTTGCTTTTAATTTGCAAGAGCTCAAAATCTTGACAGACTGAAACAAGTAGCTTGTGTACCAACCAGAAAAGAAGGCGTTCCTCCTGAGCAAGAGGAACAGACGTCTTAAGTCCAAGAGGAACAACACAAGGTGACAGTAAGTAAAGTTAGTTGAGGCAGATTTAAGGTTTTATTCCAGCTAAGAATCCTTCACTAAGGTTATCCACTTATATACAAAATAAAGACATACTTACTTTTCTGTTTGTTCTTTTTTGTTTTCCTGCAAGAAGAACATAGATTATTGCAAATATAAAGATAGCAATACTTCAAAGAATTGAAAACAGAAAGCCAGAAAAATTGTCCTCTAAGTTCAGACCAACGAGCGAATACTCAGCAGCCTATGGAGCTTTGAGATAAAAGCACATGAAAGAAGTGTCAGATATAATTTAGCATCACAGTTATGATACAATTTTTTTCATGTAGTAGGTTAGAATTCACCATTTTTGGGGGGAATCACTAAACTTGCATCTACAAAACCCCAGAAGGCATGCCAAGAACACCTGAGTATTTAAAAATGGTACTGACTGACACTTATGCAAGTAACATCTACAGATGTTTCATACTTTCCAAGTGCTCTTGGAAAACAACATTTGTAGGTGTTTTATTTCTGTATTTCAAGGATCACTTAGAGACAGAATATTGGACAAAGAAACAGAAGCGCTGGGAATTATCAGATAAATCTCAGTTAACTGAATTAACTTCCAGTAAGTACTGACACAACACAGAGTTTTACCACTACAGCAGTAGAGGGAAGTTTGAACAGCACTATCAGAATGATGTGCACAAAGCTGCATGGACTGCCTACAACTCCACCATCACTTTTAGGGGAGATCACAATTACACTTCCACTTATTAGAAAGATCTGGAACAGTAATAAATAGCATTGTCCCTAAAATTTCTCTTCTTCCAAATGCTTCTCTCAACACTTACTGTTTCTAATTTACACACCTCACACTTCTCTAAAGTCTCTATCCTTAGCCCTTATTTTTATGCCAAATGAAGAGCTGTACTTCCAATAAATTTTTAAAGACACCTGAAATACAATGCACACAACACGGAAATTTTAAGATGGGTCAAGAGTATCAATGACAAAATTAAACTGTCCTAACAGGCATTTCTGTTACTATCTGAACTATATTTACTAGCCATTTTAATTAAGAGTACTACTAGCCATGTTTCAATTTGCTCAATATTCATAGGGGTCCAGTTAAACCTCTCAAAAAATCACAGATCGTGTGGACAAAACTCTTCACCAGTACAAGATTATTTCCTTGGAAATTCACCACTATCTCAAGTGACTCTTGTATTCAGGCTTTGAACTGGGCTTATCTGGGTCAGGAAGTAGGCAGGGTGTCTAGGAAGGTCTGAAGATAGGAAGAGTAAGGCTTTTTTTTTCAAGCTTCAAGCCACAAACAAGCATTAGGCTTAAACTGTGGGCAGAATAAAGATCATCTCTCTCCAGGAAGAAGGAACAATTGCCAAGTTAAGTCACTGATAATGGACTTGTGTATTGAAGAGAAAGTCTTTTCTTCCAAACCTAGAGTAAACAAGGAGGAACAGCGAGTTCTTTCCAGAATTAAAAATCACAAGATAAAAATAATGTTAAGCATTAGTCTAGAAGCAGAGCCTTAAAAAACAGGGACAGGCAATATAAAGTACTGGAAGAACTACAGCAATTAAGACAGCAAAGCACATCTATGTTACTGAAGCACAAAGTCTAGTGTAATCCATCCGAGGCAGTCGCTTGTGTTCTCCCACCTCATTCCTTATATTTCAAGTCAAAGCAGCCATCTGTTTGCAAAGTCTAAAAAACAAATCTGAGCCAGAGAACAAAGAGAAAGAGCTGAGGTTAGAGACAAAGCATTAGCATTTGGCAGGTTTTTGACAGCCTGTAGAGCACACTGGCTGGAATAATACTCCTCACTAGGTGAAGGCAGCTGTGCAAGGGGAAGTGCTGCTGCTGTGTGCAGGAACTGAAGCATGCAGTGCACTCCATACCCTGCAGAAAGATGCAGCATCTGTATCACAGAGGTTATAGACAGCCCTACTGATAGAAGCTGTAGCCCTGGAAGTTAAATCTATCTAGGATAGGTTAAAACACATTCTCTTGTGCCACTTCACAGCTCCATTATGAACAGCAGGCCCTATACTGCTGTATAAAAGCAGTATAACAGCTTTCACTGGCGTCTCCTTATACAGCAAGTACAGCCTAGCTGCTATTCTTCATTCACATATTTCTCTATTGATTGGCATTTTTCACTGTAAACTGCTAACAAAACTAAAAAAGCAGCATGGAAGTTTCAAGAAAGCTTCTGTGAAAAGAGTTTTTAAAGGCTGAAGAGAAGTACAAGGTGCTAAAGATCTCTCAGTTCACGTGTAAAGGATGCATCCCACTGCAGTCAGACACCACCTCCTCAAAGCAGCAGGGTCAGCAGGCAGTGCTGGTAAGAACCTAACCCAGCCCTCACTGCAGGGTTTTATTTTAGCAGAACAAGAACACACAGCTATAACAAGAATATTCCAGTATTAGGGATCAAAATGTGAGACTGAATTAGAAAGTCAAAAATAAACGAGTGATATAATCATCTGAAATTGTGTACAAACAAGATAATCAGTAGAAAACAAACAGTATTCCAGCTTACAGAGCAGCTCACAACAGTGAAATGCTGTATGTCAAAGGGGACAGACTGGGAAGGAAAATAAGCAGTCCATGACACAAGAGCATAACACTGAGCTTCCAGCCTCAGTATCCAAACCAGAACTGAATTCATCATCAACTGGTGAGAGTAAAGAGGATGCCACAGAAGACAACATACTGAAAGACTGCACTTCACCTTTCTACAGACATTCATCAAAGAAAGATCATCAAGTATCTGTCACAGAACCTTGGGAGCCACCTCAAGAAGCCAGCAATCTTTGCACAAAAGGGTTGGTGTTGATGTTCAGAGCTCTAAACTGGAGTGTCTTCTGGGACATGTCTCAAGAACTGCCAGTAGAAAATAAGAATAGCTTAGAAAATAGAATTCCACACAGATAAATGACACCAGGAAGAACACAAGACTTTGGCTGGATTACTTACTCGACAACAGTTAGCAGTCCATGACCCACACAGAGAAAAATGTTGTGGACAATAATAAGTACTTTGCTTTTCCAAAAATCCATGTGCCTTTTAAAGGGACTGAAGAGGTCTGTTAGAACCTCCCTACAATAACTGGTCAAGACAGGAGCAGCAGAGAATGAAGATAGCTACTGCCTGGTCTCAGGCATCTGAGTTCAAGACATTTGTAAGTGCCAGAAAAAGATTAGGTGCCAGTTTACTGATAAAACAGCTGTAACTAAACTATATGAAATCGTATCTGTCTCCCCTAATACAAGTTGACTAGTAATAAAAAAGTAACTTAAAGATTCAAGTGTGAAAAATAAGTATGTTGGAAAAAAATGTGAAATCAGTCACTATTGCTCAAGCAGCTTGGTTACTGACTTGGCTGTGAGGTGAGAAGAAACATTCCTATCAAGAGTCAATTAAACCAGCAAACATAATTAGGAAAAGGATAAAAAACAGAGCGGATTATACACACACATCTCCTGTGCTTGGTCAGGCAACCTGACCTTAGAAGGCACACAATAAAGCTAGGAGAGGTAAAGAGAACCAAGAATAGTTAGTAGTATACAACAGCTTCCACACCAGGAGTAACCAGCAGACAGGGCTTTCTCAAGTGGACAAGTGGGCTGGAAGAAGAGGGTGAATGTGGCAGAGGTCTCACTAGTGACAAAAGGTGATGCTCGAAGAACTAACCAATCTTCCCTCAAGATAGAACCAAAGCAGCAGAGATTAAAAAGACAGGAGGAGTCATCCTCTGCCCTCCCCTCCTCAACACAGCACTGAACTAACATGAGAACTCACTGCCACAGGATGATGAGGATGCCAGCAGTCCAAATGGTTCACAGGTTATTAGATAAATATCAGTCCTATACAAAGGATTATTGAACCCATCACATGGATACAGCCTCCAGTTCTAAAATCCCTTAGTTACAGACTGCTAGAAGCTAAAGAGATCTTTGGGGGAGAGCATCACTCTAGACTTGACTCACTTGATTATCCCACAGCACACGTTACTGGTGACCATCAGACAGCAGGAAAGGTTAGGACAGTCTCCAGTTTGAGCTGGTGTCGCCATCCCAGTGCTGCTGCAGCCCCAGACAACTGGCATGTAGGCTGAATTCACTTGCTGACTGACATTTAGAGGACCTGCAGTAGCTTGGGAGAGCTACCAGCTGTGCCAAAGATAGCAGAGGATGCCACAAGAGCCATGCAGCAGGAGCACACACTTTGGAGTTCTGTGTTCCAATTAAGAACAAGACTTTGATCAGAAGAAAGAACAGCAACTCCCAAGCTGAGATACTGTTTTGGGAGTATCTCTGATGAGACTGTGTGCACAGATATAATTTAAAACCAGATTCTATTCTCAAATTTGTTATTCAGTGTCATAACTTCCCTCCAGAACGCTCTCAGTTGCCCTTCTTATTTTCCAAGTACCCATTAACTCTCATTGTTTACTGATTTTTTTTTTCAAGTTAATCATATTAGGCCCAAAGGCAGCACTGACTCGTATAAGTCAGAATTCAGCAGCACTACATATAAAACAGTCTGGAGAAGCCAGTATCTGTAGCAGTGTATTTAATTTTTGGCAACCTGCTATAACCATACAAGTGTTTTTTTCTATGGTAGCTTCTAGTTATAAGATGAATAATTAACTTAAAGACAAATGTATACAACCTGCATTTCATGCATATTTCTATTTAATCAAATATTGCTTATAAATAGCCTCAAATAGCTTTTTGAACCCGTTGTTGCAGTTTACAGGAAGTTATTCTGAACAAACTCATGCCAACAGTAAAAAAAAATATAGCACATTAAGGAGCAACTTCAAACCTCACATTTCTAACAGCATCTATCACAGATAGAGGCTCCCAGGCCTGACAGAAGACAGTGCTGCTTGTTACAGATTTCCACGGAAGCAGAACTCCAGGAAATGTGAAGTCAGTTGTCCTCCACTTCATTTTAAGCAGTGGAGGCACTGAATGCATTTGGCTACTCATACTGTCCCCTGTCCCAGCTGAAAAAGTACATTTCAGAGAAACTAAAAACTAGAAGTCCATACTGGCTTTAAAAAAAAAAGCAACCCCAAAACAATATACTGCAGCACTTAACAATCGTTAACTGAATCGCTCCCAAAGCTTACATTATTACAACTGAGGACTTTAAGAGTCTCTACAAGAAATCTATGAAAGCAAGGAGATTTGGATTTCAGGATGAAAATCCTGGTTTGACAATCCATCCTTAACTCACCGCGTCGATATTGTAGGGGTCTCCAAACAGCAAACAGTATGCGCTCCATCTCGTCTGAAAAATCTAGGCACAATGGGGGTTGAGTTAAGGAAAGAATGTCAGACCTCGTGTTTAGCCTTAAAGAGAATCTATTTAAGATTCAAAAATTTACCTTTTTAGCAGCATATTATATTCTTACTGAACATTCCTGGAGGATAAGTTGTGCTTAGATTGTTACTTCCTTTCCATTACAGTTTGCCTATCTGAAGTTTGAAAACATGAGTTATCTTTCCCGTTGTTCAATCCTCCAAGAATGCTACAAAAGGTAAATTTTGAGGCCCAAATAGGTTGACAGCGTTACCCTTTTAGAATAGTCGTGTGATCAGTTTCTCCCCCTCCCCACCATCAGTACGTTATGCATCTGCAATGACCTTAGATTTACAACAAGAGAAAAATGCAGAAGTTTTCTTTTGGAAGTGTATTTTGAGATTTTTCAGAAGCCATTTTGCCTTTAGCTGTAAGCAGGACGTGAGAAGCAGTGGTCTCAGCAATAATACGCCAGTTTCACAACCCTGCATCACTGCTAGGGTAAGTCAAAGCATTCCCTCTCCCTCAGCCTCCAAATAGGAAAGAAAAATAGGGAGACTTTGTTGAAAGAAGCACAGGTCTAATTTAGAAGGATGCATTGGATGCTGGTAACAGCTAGAGACTAGGAGCAAGATCAGTGCAACAAGCGTATGGGACCCTGTTGTAAATAACTCAGAATGCAAGATTGCTGCTCTAACAACAAGTTTCCTCTCTCTCCCCTTTACAACTCTGAAAATCCACCATCAAGGAATTATTTATTTTTTTCCAATCAACATGAAACAGAAGTTTTAGAAAATTAGCTTATTGTCTTGTATTGCCATGCTGGAAACAACCTCCCATGCCTACCACAGTGATGACAGCAAAAAGCAAAGCCACTCCTTTTCTCCAACTGGTTTCCACCAGAGAGTAAAGACAGACCTGGTAACCTGCTTTCAAGCTCGAGAGTTACACAGAGGCTTAAGATGAAGTCTTTTTTTTTTTTGCTGTATCTCCCTTGGATGCACCATTATGAGGTATGACTAAGAAGATTAAGCCAACTTTGATTTCAAGCACAGGTAAACATTTAAGCATTGACTCAGCTAGAGAGAATAACTCATCCCACAGTGACTAAAGCTGACAGTATGGGAAACCTGGAGTTACTGTTGGGATGTTCTCTGTAACACAAATCACAGACATTTATGATTGAGTCATCACTACCCATGTCAAAGTCACACATGAAATTAATTCTGCTCCCACTGCCTAAAAACACAAGACAACTCAGGTGCAACAACCTCTTAAGCAGCCAAATTAGTAATGGTCATAATTTAGATCTGTTTTAATTAGATTTTAATGACATTCATTAGGAACTGTCTAAACAGACATTTGGTTTGGGGGTTTTTTCACCCCCAAATTAAGACAAACAGGTTCCTGTCAGAGGTCCACCCTGAGCTGACAGAGCACACACCAAACTGGTGGTGTTAAAGCACCTCAGGATCTACAGCAACAGACCCCAAGGGAGCATGCATGGGGAGCCATGGACAGGTCCCTTGGACTCCCCACCCCAAAGACCAAGCCTTGGCTAATCCCAAAGTGAAGTCTGCAATCAGGATCTAGAGCAAAAAGAGGTAACTGTACCCACTACTGCTGCACTTCCCAAATCCACGATGCATATTTCATAACATAAAGTTGCCCATAAATGAGACATGAAATCTGAGGTTGCTGCCAAATGCTGCTCTTAGGAACTGATGTCATTTCAGCAGCTCCCTCATGAAGACCAGAATCATAAATGAAGTTAGTAATGACCATCTTCATAATTGAGTGAAGTACTACCCCAAACAGAAGAGTTCCATGGCACGTGAGCAAAGCAGTAGGGCTGTACTGACTGTATGAGAATCTAAACACACCACTATACAAGCCTATTCTGAAAAACAAAAAGGATGGAATGAAAGAAATCTGACAGTTACATCCTGAAATTATTTCTTCTAATAAATGTCTGAGCTTGCTTCTGGTCTCTTAAGATGCAAAACCATTTTTAATAGCATATGGGTTTAGTTTTGTCAAGAACAGCAAAACAAAGACTCCTTAAATGCAGTTTTAACAACTTTACAGGAAGAAGGCAAGGCATTGTAAGGATTTTTTTTTTTTTCCCCCCCCAAAAGGTACTTGCACAGCTTGGAAGAATTGTAAAATTCTATAGAGAAACCCATTTCACCAAGATCCACAAGGACTTACAAGGACTCACCACTTTTTAAGTGTCAGTTCACTAACTTAAGAGGAATAGAGTGCAAAAAACGTAGAGTGTTAGTGCCTACTCAGTACCTGGACTCAATATTAAGCACTGCACAATCTAAGAAGGCAGTTTTAATAAAATCCAAAAGGCCTTTGTTGATGTTCATGTTACAAAAGTGAAACCCAACTTTCGTAGGGGTTGTGTCAGAAGTCATGTAGTTTAGCCTGCAGAACCATTCAAAGAAAAATCCTATTTAAAGATCAATAGTAAAACTGACAAGCAAAAGTCTGGGAGGTTTTTTGGGTGTGGTTTTGTGGGTGGGTTGGTTTTGTTTGTTTGTTTTGAATAAAAAGCTTCTTACACTTCAACATTTTTCTGCTGCAGACCAGAAGTCTTCTTGCCCGGAGCAGCACCTCTCATCTTCCCCTCTGCATATTGTTCCCTTTAAAAAAAAGAGTATATTTGTAAATAAGACTAATGGAAAAAGAAGCTTGTTTTCCCTCAAAGGAAAGGGAAACCTCAAAGGTTATGCAAAACATTTAGAGAATGTCTAATAAAGGGCTTTGCAAATCAGTATGTGTCATGAGCAGGAACAAATTCAACTCAATATCCAGAAGATTTAGGTTTTCCAGTATGAACACCCCTTTCCCCCCCCTCCCACCACCCTTGTTATTCTGAATCACGTGGAAGCAGTACACTGCTTCTGAAAAACACAAAACAACTTCTCAATAAAAGCATTTCTATTAAAGAAATACAAGATTAGCATCTGTAAAAGTCAAAGTACTTGTAGGCATCCTGAAGCTGCCCGAGAAGATCCTTACCACTTAACAATGTATTTGCACAAGGGTAATTTTTAGCCACCCAACTTCCACATTACACAATGTACTTGTAGTTGGACAGGCTGCCTCTCCATTTCATCAACTTACTCTTCCTTAAAACCTTCAAGTTATCATTTTAAAACTAAGTAGCAGCTTGCTCCTTCTAAACTGCTAGTGGACAGAGATCAGAACATCTCTAAGTAAAAGCATCTCAAGAATAAATGAATATATGAACACCTCTTGAAGAATTTTTTTTTTTTAATCTAATTTCCCTTGATATAGAGTCATTGGATTGAAGCTCTATACAAAATTATCTCCTGACAGGGATTTCTAACAAAAATACTTACTGATTGGCCTTTTGAAGTTCTTTTTGTTTCTGCAAATTGGTATCCACGTATTTGAGCACTCTGCTTTCTGGAACCCATTCATCCCAGCTGAAAAAAATAAAAATAAAAATCAAACAATCATTCAAAACCACCACATAATTGCATCCTACACACAATAGTCAATTAAAAGCTTCACAGAAAGTGATACTGAACTCTGCTTTTGTGCCAAGTCATGGACTGGCACAACTGAAAGTGTAAAACACCAAACGCATTCCCCTCTGACTGAATCTTCTGGGGAAGTGGAACCCTCAGTCATTTCCAAAGCTTCCCAAACTTGAAGGATGGGCAATTTAGGAGGGAGGGGACTGTCTTTAATTGAAAAGAATCTGTCTTTAATTGAAAAGAATCATCTCAAGGGAAAAAAAAATTCTATACTTACTAAATTATGGGACACCTGTAGCCATAACTACATTATGAAGCAAGTTTCCTTTATCTATTCCAACATTTTATAGGTTAACAAATTCAGCAATAAGGTCTTACTGTAAGAAGAAGAGCTCTGATTTCTGTCTGTGAAGGAAACCAAGATGGCATGAATATTTGAAGAATCTGAAGTGAACGATTTAAGAGAACAGGTGTTGGGGAAATTGCCATTACGAGCAAGAATTCCACTTTGACAAAGAGTGGATCATCTGAGCAAGCTGACAATTTATTTCAAATAAAACACATTAAAAGTGGCCGAATACACAAGTTAAAGCTCTTTTTTATTAAGGATCTGGGTGTCATTTTCACTTTATGGCATTATCAGCCAGTCCTGGAACATCAGCATGGCAAAACCAATACCCCTACAGAAGCACAAGGTCTTCAGGAGTGTTAAGACAAGGCATGCTTAGCACCAAAAGTTAGAGAGACACGTGTCCAGCTGTACACATTCCAAGAGCATGATTTTAGGACAGTGCTTGGGTCAGATATTTAAGTCATTTAACTTAATCCAGCCACTTAACTTAATCCTGCCCATACAGCTGCAAGAGACTTTCAAAAGAAGAGCTATGTAACTGTGCAAGTATACTGTATGATGAGGAAACTTTTTTGGTACCTCAACTGTTGATATTTGCAAAAAAAAAAAAAAACCTAAAAAAAATTAAGTACTCCAGCAATTAACAAGTAACAAAGAGTAATTAATATAGAAACCAAAACTAAAGAGTCATATTATATTGTCTAGATCTTACAGCAACGCCACTTTTAATGCAGTTAATTGGGAGCTTGAAGGCAAAAGAAAACCTCAAACAGCACAAGCAAGAAAAGCAGGAGTCACAACATCACTTACAGCACTCTTCATCCGAGATAAACAAGGAGAGGAAGCATCAAATTTATGCTGCCTCATTAATAGGCTGCAGCCACCATAAGAACCAATTACCCTCCCTGTAACTGGGGGCGTTTACCATACAACATTTGCCGGCCTATTTGGCAGTGAGGGTGTGTGGGTGCATTTTAAAAAGTTACATATTAAAATATGAATTTCAGCTTTTAGTCACATCAGTGAGATCAAGATACTAGTGACCAAGAGTCTTCCCTCTACAGTCTGCAGCATCAAAATGAAACAAAACCCAACAAAACAGCAAAAAGTGCTCTCTGAAAGACTTCTGGAGTGTGAAGAGCTGAAGTTTTTAGTTGCTAAGGAAAAAACCTCCACTTTTTCTTAAAAATCAAAACTTAGTGGCAGAACAGAATTCAAGTGAAAGAAAAAAAGACAAGTACATAAATGTAACAGTCTCATGAAAGTATTCACCTTCAACGGGCTGAACATTTATTTCATGGAGAGGTCTTTATTCTTCAGCAATCTCTCACCTAGAACCCTGCCATTTCTGCAGGAGGGAAAAGCATCCCTGACTTCACCTCAGCACGAGAGGCAAGAACTGAAATACAGGCTGAACCTGCTCCTGGGAAGGACTAAAGCAGCCAGCCTTTCCCATTCTCAGCACAGCCTTCTCTAAGGCATGCTTCTCCAACCTTTGCTACCAAACTTGGCTGCCAAAAGCGGTATAAAAGCAAAGTACACTGTGTATTTGAGTAGAGAGTTTTGCTCCACCTCAGGAGCAGTTGCCTCTCCTCCCAACACATAACAAGGAAGTTTTTGTACTGGATATTTCTGCCAGGGAGGACTTACAGTAACTATTTTCAAACTTAAAACAAACAGAATGCTATAAAGCATTCCCGTTAGTCTGCTGACACCCCAAGCTAGGCTGGCTACACAAGCAGAGCTCTGAAGGAAATGGTTAGGCAGGCAATGTTTTCTTTGTGTTACTATAAATCACTGGCTTATGTATAAAAATTGTTTAGGTCAATTTCAGAAACAACCTCCTAGTGACACAGACAGGGTAGTGCCAGTTCATCAAGCTCATTCAAACTGACAAAGCCTGCATTTTCCCATACAGGAAAATGAAATAGTGCTTTCATTTTATGCAATACTTACTTTTTATTCCAACCACTGTAATGGATAAAGTATTTCACTTGCTTGTCCTTTATGGCAACCTTTACACACTGGAACAGAGAAGAGAGTTCAGTCAGCACCAATGAGAACAAAGATCTGAAGGAGTTTAACTTTTTGAGCTTTCAGAGTTTAAACATGCAGCGATTTCCATGCAAGCGACTGAAATACCAGCAGCTATTCCACAGCAGAAAGGAAGTTCTCTAACACAAGTTACTGCCTGTTTAGGGATTTGGAAGAGCTAGGCAAACAAGTGACTCTGCTCAGCTATCCAAAGGGACACCTTCAGTCATGAGAAGGATCAGAAACCCCTGAGGATGACCAGAAGAGTAAACAAGTAGTCGCTTCCCTACCCCCAGGTTAGCCAGAAGCCATTCACTGGAGAGCTTGTTGACATGCAGGTCCCTACCTCACAGACAGGTAAGCTGGCTGAAGCAGAGGAGTCTTCAAAAGCAAAATAAATAATAAGGATCTCTACAGCCACAGAGGGAGCACTGTATTCAGTAGAAAGAGTTGCAGTAAGGGCTGTTTCTAGGTTAAGAATGTATACATGAGGTAAACACAGTTATTTCCATCAAAAGACTGGCCTATGAACACAGTAACTTCCTTATATACCGAGATTAAGATGAGATTATCAAAACCAAGTTCACACCAAGGTTACTCCAACCACTCCACAGCAGCACTCGGATTCAGAAGCATCCCTCACAACCTTGTCTGCCTCACAGTTTAGCACAGCCCTGCTGCCAGGCTGCAGCCCCTGCCTCAGCTCAGCCAGGGGAAGGTGCTCAGGTGAGCTGGAACCGCGCACGCTGCCCGGTAACAACACGACTTCCTCCTACCCCTGCAGCCTGGCAGGTAAGAGCTCGAGCTGCCACATCTACAGAAGAGAAAAACACAGCCAGAGACATGCCTCTTCCTGCAACAGCACAGCCCAGAACAGAAACTACAGAACCCACGTTATGTCCCTGAATTTCTTTGCTACAACAAATTAAATCCAACAATTTTGGCTTGGATAAGGCACTTCATCCAGAAAGGTACCAAGTCTTGCTGTGGATACACCGCGACACAGATGCCACTGTGCCACTTTAACACTGCAATAAGGAGGATGTTGTGAAGTAAGATGAATCAGCCTCTTTGGCTCTAGCTTTTAATCCCTTCCTAAAGAATTTTTTCCATCAAAGTAAGAAAATGGCTCATAAAAATCATAATTGCTATCTTCTTCCCACGCTCATTGAGTTACCTCTAAGTATATAAGAGGGCAGAGCCTCCTGCTGTACAACATCTTCCTTCTCAAGGCCTTTGTGGTGACTCCTGCACCCTCTCCAACTAAAAAATGGCATTGTCAACATAGAGAGGAACATCGTATTTCAGTGCTAATCTCCAAAACACCACAAATAGAACTTAAATTCAGTCTCATCTAGACTTCCAACTAGGAATAAGGATATTCTAATCTTTTTTGGTGTACTACAGCACCAGTGGCTCATTCTGACAGTCCTGGAGTTAAAACCTGACAATTACAGACTCTGTGCTTACAAAGTGTCTACTTGTTTTGAAGAATATAAGTGAGCATGAAGTAATAGAGGGTTCACATATATTCCTGTACCAAAATATCCTCCTTCCTGCTGGAGGTTAGAAGCATCTTAAGTGAATCTCATTTAACTCTTGCCTTGTACAGAGACATAAAACAGTTTGTTTGCCACAGTTTTTCACAGTACTCTAACACAAATGCTCCTCTGACCATCTCGCTATGGGAAGCCAAGGATAGGGTCATCAGGAACAAAATAACTTGTGTAATACACAGAAGCCAAACAGCTCAGAACAGGAAGAAAGCTGAGGTCATGATTCATTACTACCTACAAAATATCTTTGTAAAATTAAACCCAGCTCCTTCTACCATTTCAGGAGCCCAGAAGGATCCTGACTCCCTGTATAAATAGCCAGCCAAAAGCTATCTTGCCAACTGGGAAATCCCTTCTAGACCGAGCTGGCAGTGCCAGTTCCTGCAGCACTCATTCCAGCCTTGTGTAAAGAAGAGGAGCACAGCACAGCACGGAGAAGCACAACACTGTAGCAGCTCTGGGCTGTTTAATTGACCAAAGAGATAAGGCTGCTGCTAACAGAAGTTTGTTTCCACAAAACCAGAAGCCTTGATTACTCTCCTCTCTGTGCTAGCACCTGGGCAGGCACTGGCAGAAGACAACACTGAGCACGCATTCACAACGAACTTGTCCTCCAGTTCTAGAGCAAGGGAGAGAACAGAGTAGAATCACTAAAGTGAAAATGTTTTAGACAAGCACATCCCCTGTCAACGCTCTGGATGTTATTTTAGCGTTAGAATAACTATTTGCTGGTAACATTAAAAGATTTGTCAAGTATTTCTAGCTGCCTCCCTGCTACCACCTCTCTGAAGTTGTCCCATCAGTTAACATTCACTGGCACTAAAACCTAATGAATTTAAATCTCTTTAAGGTGCCTCAGGAATTTCTGCAAGTCTTCAAATCCACACCCTTACAAAAGCCCTTTGTTTCAATTTCAGAAGAAGTGGAAACAGGCAGTCAAATTAGGAGCTAGACCTTCAGTAAAACAGATGGCACAGCAGTGACACCTGCTCAAGGCCCACAAGAAAGGCCCATCAGGGAGAGCTCTGCAGCGGGGACCTGCAGCTGAAGCCGTGGGGATGCTCCTCCAAGTCACAGATTCACAATGCATGGCTTGTGCAGTTCGAAAACCAGAACTGAGAATGCCACTTCCTTTGTCACTGTAATCACCATTATCTTCTGCAGTGTTGTCCCATTTGAAGACCACTGATTGTACTCGGCCACCCACACCTCTGAGGAAGCTCAAACTGCAGCTGACGGACTCGCTCATGCATTAGCACCAAGTCCCATGGACACAAGTGTTTTCCAGTGTCCTGGGGACACAAGCATATCAGATGTTCAACACATAAAACCACCTGGTCTTTAGTAGTTTACCAGAATATCTGCACAATACCATTGAGTCTTGTGACATTTTTCTGTAATATAGAGCTCCAGGATTTAAAACTAATTTATTTCATACGTTATCAGGTTCTCCTTAATTTTAGTTTCAGTCCTTAATCCTGTCCAGTGAGGCACAGCAGGTAAACTAACACAATTCCTTATGTTTTTGGGGAACAGTCAGAACTGTCTGCAGCAATAAACAACCACACATACCTTTGCTTCATAAAGGAGAGGTCCATGAAAACAAAGCACTCGTTCACCTGAAAGAAAGTTGCAGACAAACATGTTAGAACAGCACTACTGTGCCATTTCATTCTATATGTCATCCAGTACAATACAGAATGAATCCAGTGCCAACCTAGGAAGAAATCCAAAGGCAGAGAGGGATTTGAGGAGCAGGCTGGTGTTTGAGGAACAAATTCACTCTCATACAAAGGAAGATCAGAGCTCGGATTATTTAGGCCATGAAGCAAAGATTCCTGAGGACCTCCCTGAGGAGCTGGTGCAAGGACAGCTGCATGCAAACCACGTCCAAGCTTGCCCAGAGTTTTGCAGAACGGCTGATGTCTTCAGCAAACAATTGGTACCAAAACTTCCATTCCTGCCCACACATCCAGCCACTGCCAACTCAAGTCACAGACACCTTTGTATCCTGGCACAGAGAACTCCCTCAAAGCCTCGAGTTTCAGCTGCAGACACCAAAACACGCTGGCTCGACACAAACAGACTCCCTCAGCCCAAGTACTCCAGCAGGAGGCAGGTAACGCTGTCTTACTCCAAGGGATTCTTCAGCCTCCAGGACATTGCATTTGGAGTCACAGCAGGAAATGAGCTGTCTTAAGAGATGTCACTTCTGCGTCTCAAGCTCCTGACACAAATGAAGCAAGTGTTATTGGTACTCCTTTTCCCACAGGACACACACCACCTGCTATTTTAGTTCAATGAAGTCAGGAAGAGAGAGACCCCGACATTGTTTCCCCATCCGACTTGCGGGACAGAAGAATACCAGGTTTGTGCAACAGCAAGAGAAATTGTTCACTTTGTGGTTTTTAAGTAGGAAGACATTGTTCTTCAGTCTGTTTTGTTGGTTGTTTTTTTTTCCTTAATGGCAAGGTCTTATTGTGCAGTTACGTTGTGGGAATTTAAACGTACTTAACACAGGATATCTGAGTACAGATGTTTCCTCCTTGAAAGCTGCAGTATTTCACATTTTCAGAGAGACAAGCTGCAGAATACACTCCAGGGTGTAGCACACATCCAGTTCTTGCCACTGTTTGCAGGACAGACAGGACAAAAGAGAGCTGCCACCATCACCACGTGCATGCTCTGCAGTACGTATGTGCAGGTATTTATTCAGCCCCCAGACCAGTCTGGGAAGGAGGTGTGCAGGAGCAAGACTCTCACCAGTGACACAACTCTGGATGTCTTCTTCCTTGTGAGCAGCTCAGGAATGACTAGGGTGGGGGAAGGACCACTTCATGGGCTATAGGTTTAAAAGCACCCTCCATTGTAAATTTTCCTCTGCCCTTCAAAAGCGCTTTCTGCATATTCAAGTGATAAATACAGTCAGTGGCACATCACACCATTGACTCTCTTGAACCCTGTACAATTCTGGGTTTATTTGCCTCTTTACCCCACAGATGTAACACAACCTTAATGAAACTTTTCACCAGATGGGCTCTAAACAGACACTTGCTCTGCAAACAGTAATGGAATGTCCCCACTTCTCCATTTTTTGGGGTGATGGGGCAGAGCAGTTCTTGCCCTCATTTCCTTTTAAACACACTTTCAGCAGGGTCAGGGCAGTTCCACTGGCAGCATGTCAGGCAGCTGATGACAAACCTTCTGATTTTGCCTGAAGCAGATGAGGGAGAATTAAGACAGATCATTGCACAACCAGGACTGGGAGACAAGCAGGTAGCAATCACCTCTTCAACCAGCCTGGCTACTATCGCCTTCCATCTAACACATCCAGACTCTGATCGAACAAGATGCAACTAGAAATTTACTACTTCATTCCTACGTTGACTAGAAAGAACTGCTCCTGTTTAAAGATTTCATTATTATGCAATCTGTAGGATCCCATGCTCTCCATAAAGTTAAAACAAGTATTCACATTAAAGTCTAAGAACACAAACCTGGGTCTGAAAATGCTTCTATGTACCAAGAAAGAAAAGAAAAAGGTTGAGAAGTGGCTATTTTTATACATTCAGTTGTCTGTTCTTTTTTTTAAATAGAAATCGTTATAATCAGGGCTAACAATTGGAAGTTACATTATTTTCATGCATAACAGTGCTCGCTACTAGAAAACACATCTCTCAATTATTATGCAAGGTCTTTCTAGGTAGGGTGTCCACAGTTACCATGAATTATTTTATTTATTTTCAAAAAAAACCCACAACATGAACCTCAGTTTTGCAGAAAGGGTTCTTCTGTTTCCACGATCACCTAACAGACCCTTGCTCCTTCCCAGCTGACTGCAGTCATGCCAAGGCCTCTCCTCCCAATCCACCAACCGTTCTCTCCTACACGCTGCCACCACTGCAGCCAAACACTTTGTTGACTTTTACATGCAGGGTATTTATAGAAACAAGAGGTTTTCAACCTGTGGATCAAGAATACAATGACCAGTGAAGCCTTCCCAGCAGTATCAGGGTGGCAGGATAACTAGCATCTTCAGAAACAGCCCCGAAAACACAGAAGTCTCATCAGCAGAAGAAAAATCTGCCTTAAGCAACTCTGAAGTTGATTCTGACATCTGAGACTCTTTTGTATTTGCTTAAAAAAAAAAAAAAAAAGCCAGCATCAAGATTCAGAACACCTTAATTACCTACAACTCTTAATTCTTATTTGTCCAAATGCTGGTCTCCTTTCTCAGGCCTACATAAACACCAGTCCCTTCATTTCAAGGGGTGTACATGAATTTCTGGCTTGACATTTTGGTTTTCCTAGCTCTCACAGGTTCTTCACAATGAATTCAGCCTCCTCCTCACCTTTTGCTTTGTGAAAAATTCCCATATGGATAACTTCTGAGTCTGCTTCCTACTCTTAGAATTACATTTAGCTTAAAGATCTACAATTAAAATAATTTTCATTTGCTATGCTGTGAAGGTCCACAATAAAGCATTTAAGCTTTAGGCCTGCAGGAAGCTTTATTCAGGGCACTTTTCTCTTTTAATGTTACAGTGGAGATCACCAACACATTTACATCTGTGGAAAAAAGCCTAAAAATTTTCACTTCTCCACTAAATTTAGGTTGCTCATATTCTTATAGCTGAAAACATAATTTCAGCCTGGAATTCTATTTAGGTTTTTTTTTTTTGCTGTTCATTGGTTTCACATTAATGATTATAATGTGAATCATACATTAAAATCTTGATTATTTCTGCAGGTTGACAGTACCATTGGTATTAACACATGGCACAGAATGCTGATGCACAACTGAACGTGCTCAGACATTAAGCAGCCGTGAGGCACATACAATTAGTGTTGTTTAAGCCACCAGAACAGCCAGCTCCCAGGCATCCTCCTGCAAATGGCACTTTTACAGTTAAATTACAACTGTGTGGAAGGTCCTGCTTAGAATCCAAGGTGAGGGGGACACTTAGAATCCAAAGACAGGTAGAAAAGAAAGGATGAAGTAAATTTTCACTTACCATTGTCTAGCATTTTCATTTACCTATATTAGTATCAACCACAAGCATTATCTAAAAATCAAAATGTATGCAAAGTAAGTCTCAGAAAAAGCATAATCCTAAGCCTCATTCACCTAAAAAAATATCTGGTGTTTTGTTGTGAGTATGGATTCCACCACAACTGGCAGCTGCAGTCCAAATACTGCCCCCAGGACTCCTCCTGCATGAGGATCCCTGAGCTCTTTTTCAAGGAAGAGTAAATAATAACCACATTTCCATCCAAGAAAATAAAAAACCTGACGGATTTAGGAGATTTCAACAGTTTTAATGCCAATTAATATCCATGCCTGCAAGAAAACTAAGCATATTTAGAATAACAGGGGATAGGGAAGGGGTTATTCATCCTGGAGAAGGTTCCAGGGAGACCTTATTGCATCTTTCAATACTTGAAGGGGGTCTATAAGAAAGATGGGGACAGATTTTTCAGCAGGGCATGGAGCAAAAGGACAAAGAGAAATGGTTTTAAGCTAAAAAGGGGAGATTTAGTCTAGATGGAAGGAAGAAATACAATGAGGATGGTGAGACACTGGCCTAGGTTGCCCAGAGACATAGGTAGAAGCCCCAGCCCTGGAAACATTCCAGGTCAGGTTGGACGGAGCTCTGAGCAACCTGGTCTGGTTGAAGACTTTAGGAAATTTTTAGGAAAAATTTATTCACCAAAAGGGTGGTCAAGCACTGGAACAGGCTGCCCAGGGCGGTGGTGGAGTCCCCATCCCTGCAGGGATTTAAAAGCTGTGTAGATGTGGTGCTCAGCGACGTGGTTTAGAGGGGAACTTAGTGGTGCTGGGTTTATGGATAGACTTCATGATCTTAAAGGTCTCTTCCAACCAAAACCATTCTATGAGTCTAAGATGTCCCTGTCACTGCAGGGGGTTGGACTGGACGGCCTTGAAAGGTCCCTTCAACCCAAACCATCTGTGATTCTACGAAAGCCCCATGTCCTCTTGGTAGGAAAGACAAGGAACAGGAAGAGAGACAAAGACTACGGGAATTAATTTTTTCCAATATATTCTCACATTTTTAGGGTTGATCAGCAAAAGCTAAAAACCAAACCACCCTCTGTGCTGAGGGACCGTGAACGCTGGAGCTCAACCCCGGCCTGGCTGAAGGCCTCACCGAGAGCTCGTCTGCGAGCCAGGACACGACAAGATGGAGCCCTGGAGCCGTGAGGATGCGTTACCAGCAAGGAGAGACCCGTCCTAGGGCTGAGGGTGTCCCCAGCAAG